CGCAGGGAGTGACCTGGGTCCACTCCCTCCTCTCTGGACCTCACTGTTCCCACCTAAACATGGAGAGCGGCTTGTCAAGGATGGACTGGTTTGGGATTTTACACTGTCTTCCTTTTTGTGATTCTGGTGGAGGACAGACTCTGGGGTCCGTAGAGAGGGTCATTTTGTTACCGGTCAGTTTGCTGTTCACAGTCAATGGTGTAAAGAGGACCAGATAGTACGTGCCCACGCAGTGGGTTTGTTACAAGGAGGAACGCCAAGATGAGGGAACCTGCAACATTCATTACCGGCAGGGCAGCGAGTGTGCCTGGCTTTGGCTCTGGAGAGAAACATTATCTGTCTTCCAAGGCTGCTCGCTGTGCAAACACCCTTGAAAAGACAGTCCGGAACAAAAGCAGTCAGCTCCTCTGCTCCAGACATGCAGAACACAAGAGACATGGGGAAAATTATCTTCCAGGGGGAGGAGAGGCCGTGTTGACTGAGGAGGCAGGTTTTGGAGGGGATGCACAATAATACATAAACAGAAGGGCCTGAGGACCAGCAGTTAGCATAATGTCTATGTTGCTGGACTCCCACGTAGTCGACCGTGCTTCGAGTCCTGGACCCAGTGGCTTAAACTCACGCCGGGCGTATGTGTGTGCGTGCCCAAGATCCCAAGAGGAGAATGGAGGAGAAGGGGTTGCTGTGTGGCCATCCCCCCTGGGGGGGGTGATTTCTCGCTTTCTCTCTCTCTGTCTCTCTCTCGTCTGTCTGGCGAGCACACGCACCGTATAGCAAAAACCTCTCCAAAAAAAAAAAACAAGGGCCTGAGTCCTTTGCTCATGGGTAAAGCTTTATTTATCCACACTAAAATTTTGAATTTCATATAGCACAAAATACTTATCACATATCACCAATTTGTTTTTTTTAATTTTCTCCCCACTATTGAAAAATGTAAAACCGTGGTTAAGGTGGCTGGATCTCACTTAGCCAGCTCTGCTCTTCAAATCCTGGACCTGGCAACTTGAAACTCACGTCGGGTGCATGTGTGTGCATGCCCAAAATCCCGAGAGGAGAATAGAGAAGGGATTGTAGTGTTGCCATGCCCCGTAGGGGAGTGATTTTTCATTTTCCCTCTCTCGCGCTTTCTGTCTTTATCTCTCTCCAGTGAGCGCACATGCCCTATAGCAAAAACTTAAAAAAGGGACCAGCAGATGACACGATGATTATGGTGCTGGACTCCCATCTGATCGACCATGGTTCAAGTCCCAGACCTGGAGGCTTAAAACTCATGTTGGGCACTTGTGTATGTGTGTCCAAAATCCCAAGAGGAGAATGGAGGAGAAGGAATTATGGCTTGCTCAGCACCACTCCCCCTGCCCCAGGGAGGGGTGGTGATTTCTTACTTTTTGTCTTTCTGTCCCACTCTGTGTCTCTGGCGAGCACATGCACCCTAGAGCAAAAATCTCTTAAAAAAAAAAAACAACTAAAAAAACTTGCTCGACCACAGTGGCACAAGTGGTAGGGCACAGCATGCAATACTGGACCCACATGAGAAGGCCCAGGGTTTAGATCCTAGATTGGCCAGAGCTTACCAGGTGCTCCCACAGAAATGCCATGATCCTGGCTGACTGGAAGGCCAGCACGGGGTCAAGGGGGCAGGGGAAGACCACAGTGTGACAGAGCCCTGTCTGCGATCTCTCTCTGTCCTGAAAGAAATAAACTTAATAAGAAATTGTAAAAACTCTCTTAGCTCACAAGTCATACAAAGGAAAGGTGGATTCAGCCTGCGGGCTGCCAACCCTGGAACCTAAGACCGTCTGCATCTGTAATGCCCTCCTTACCACTGGCTGTCTCCCCTGCCCCAGCATTTCCTGGGTCTTACGTTCCTCGGGCTTCCTTATAGTTCGTCTCAGGTATCTCATTTTCCCCACTTTTGCAAATGACATCGAACATGTATTTATATAAATGGAATCAAGCGTATCTTTATTTGTAACTTGCTTTGTCCACTAACATTGGATTGTTTTGTTTTGTTTTTTAGAGGTTTTTGCTATAGGGTGCATGCACTCGCCAGAAAGACAGAGACATAGAGACAGAAAGCGAGAAATCACCCCCCAGGGCGGATGGTCACACCGCAGTCCCTTCTCCTCCATTCTCCTCTCGGGATCTTGGGCACGCACACACACACACTGGGTCCAGGATTCGAACCACGGTTGACTACATGGGAGTCCAGTGACATAGCCATTATGCCAACTGCTGGTCCCGACTATCTTCTTCAAGAAGAAAGGCCAGGGTAGAGTAGCGGCTAGGACTTCACCTTGGCCCTGCCGTGTGAGCGCTAAGAAGGTCTCCACTTCTCGGAGCCTTGACCTCCTCATTTCTAAAATTAAGAAAAATAACAATAGTAACACCATCCCCATTGGAATGAATTGAAGATCAAATGACGTAACATACCCAACTGCCTGGCCCGGTAAGCACTGGGTGTGAGCTGTTACTATCCATGGGCACCGCGCTCCAGTTCTGGGGGGTCCGCTCGCCGGTGTTGACTCTGTCCTGCTGATGGAGTGGTCAGGCTTTCATGTGGAGAGGTCACATGGGGGCCCTCAGGGACGGGGACCCTTGGCCCACCCTGGATGCCATATGTGATTTAGGGGAGGGCGCGGTCGTGGAGGCCACGGCGCATCCATAAATGGATGTTCCCTTCTTTGATCACAGTAGCCTCAGAGACGCGTGTGTATTCTGAGTGACTGGAAGACCACAAACTGAAGGTTAAATGACAGAGCTGAAGTCTGGCAAGTGTCGCCCTCTGGAGAAGGTTTGGCTTCTCCGGGGATAATTTGGGTTTGGTTTCTCAGCTGCCAGTTTCCCAGGGGTCGCCTGTCGTGACCAATCTCAGAGGAGTCTGGAAGGCTCGCTCACCCAGCAGTGATTCTCAGCTATTTGAAGATGTAAAAAAAAAAAAAAAGACCAGCAGATGGCATAATGGTTACATCGCTGGATCCCACATAGTCAACCAGAGTTCGAGTCCCAGACCCGGCGACTTGAAACTCACACCAGGCATGTGTGCATGTGTGCCCAAGATTCCAAGAGGAGAATGGAGAAGGGATTGCAGCATGGCCATCCCCCCTGGGGGTGGAGGGGGGTGATTTCTTGCTGTCTGTCTGTTTCTGTGTCTGTGTCTGGTGAGTGCACATGCCCAATGGTGAAAATCTCTCTAAAAAGAAAGAAAGAGGGACCAGCAGTTAGTGTAATGGTTATGTCCTGGACTCCTATGTAGTCGACCGCGGTTCGTGTCCCGGACCCGGTGGTTTAAAACTCACGCCGGCCCGTGTGCGTGTGTGCCCAAGATCCCGAGAGGAGAATGGAGGAGAAGGGATTGTGGCATGGCCATCCCCAATGAGGGGTGATTTCTCGTTTCTGTCTCTCTGTTTCTCTGCCTGACGAGCGCATGTACCCTATAGCAAAAACAAACAAACAAACAAAAAAGCAAACAAAAAAACCCAAAAACCTCTCAAAAAAAAGAAAAAAAGAAAGAGAAAGAGAGAGAGAGAGAAAGAAGAAAGAAAGAAAGAAAGAAAGAAAGAAAGAAAGAAAGAAAGAAAAAAAGAAAGAAAGAAAGAAAGAAAGAAAAGAGAAGAGAAGAGAAGAGAAGAGAAGAGAAGAGAAGAGAAGAGAAAAAGAAAGAGGAGAGAGAAAGAAAGAGAAAGAAAGGAAGAAAGGAAGGAAAGAAGGAAAGAAAAGTGCAATAAAAAGGTATTGGGTAAATATCAATAGTTCGCTGATTCCTGATCTACTTCATGGTATTGAATGGTCAGGGAAGTCCAGAGTTCAGAGAAGAGAGCGGAGGATCATTAGAACATGGCTGATATTTACAGCCTGGGGGCTGGATACACTCATCTATGGAGTAAAAAGAGACAGAAGAGAGGTTTGAGGGGCCAGCAGTTAGCATAATGGCTATGTCACTGGACTCCCATGTAGTCGACGGCAGTTCGAGTCCCCGACCCGGTGGCTTAAACTCAAGCCGAGGGCGTGTACGTGCGTGCTCAAGATCCTGAGAGGAGAATGGAGGAGAAGGGATTGCGGCATTTTCCTGGGGGGGTGGGTGATTTCTCACTTTCTGTCTCTGTCTCTCTCTGTCTCTCTGGCGAGCGCGCACTCCCTATAGCAAAAACCTCTCCAAAAAAAAAAAAAAGAGAGAGGTTTGAGGATTCAACCTCACACACTCTAACCTTGAGAGGTGGGGAGTGTGCAGTGAAGGAACTGGAAAGGAATGTCAGGAAGGGGTGAGGAAAGTCAGAAGCCAAACCCAGTATGCCTGAAGGCAGAGGAAGTGAGCCATCCATTGACAGTCTGGTGGGGACATTATAAGCTAAGAAATCAGACAGGCAGGATATGCCCCAGTGTGGTGACTTACACTAGGAAGAATCGAGTACCCCCCAGGAAGTGCTTTTCCAAGAAGTCTAGTCCAAGTCTAATCACAGTTGGAGAAGTAACTCCCAGATTCTAAAGAGTCCAGAGGAGAGAGAAACATGTTAAAACACATTCAAGGATACAGTCAACGAGATCACAATGAGAGATCTCCACGGCAAGTCATCTGCTTGCCTTAATAAATAAATGGCCACAGGGAAAGAAAGAGGGTGGGAAAACTGTGATAGATTAAAATAATCTTTTTTTTTTCCTTTTCTTGGAGAGGTTTTTGCTA